ACGTTATCCAACACATCAACAAAAAGAAATATAAAAACCACACGATAATATCAATAGATGCCGAGAAAACTTTTGACAATGTGCAACACCCATTCATGATAAAAGCCCTTGAAATTCTTGGGATACAAGGAACATACCTCAACATCATAAAGGCCATATATGACAAGCCAACAGCCAGTATCATTCTCAATGGCGAAAAGCTGAAAAAAGCATTTCCATTAAGATCTGGAACAAGACAAGGATGTCCACTCTCACCACTGCTTTTCAATATAATACTGGAAGTCCTAGCCAGTGCAATAAGACAAAAGAAAGACATACAAGGAATCCAAATAGGAAAAGAAGAAGTCAAACTATCACTATTTGCAGATGATATGATAATATACATAGAGAATGCCAAAAACTCCACAGAAAACTAATTCAACTAATCAATCAGTTCAGTAAAGTGGCAGGATACAAAATCAACACGCAAAAGTCAGTAGCTTTCCTATACACAAAAAATAAATCTGAAGAAGAAATCAAAAAAACATCCCTTTATTATCGAAACAAATACTTGAGAATAAATCTAACAAAAGAGGTACAGGAACTATACAAAGAAAACTATAAAACACTGTTAAAAGAAATAGAAGAAGACACAAAGAAATGGAAAGACATCCCCTGCTCATGGATTGGAAGAATAAACATTATTAAAATGGCCATCCTACCAAAAGCAATATACAGATTCAATGCTATTCCAATAAAAATTTCAATGTCATTCTTCAAAGAAATAGAACAATTATTGATGAAATTCATATGGAACCACCAAAAACCCCGAATAGCCAAAGCTCTTCTGAAAAAAAAAGATGGGAATGGAGGCATCACACTCCCAGACTTCAAACTATACAAAACCTTAATCATCAAAACTGCATGGTATTGGAACAAGAACAGACACACAGACCAATGGAATAGAATAGAAAATCCAGAAATAAACCCGCAGATTTTTGGTCAACTAATCTTTGACAAAGGAGCAAAGAATATGCATTGGAGCAAAGAAAGTTTGTTCAATAAATGGTGCTGGGAAAACTGGGTCACTACATGCAAAAGAAAGAAGCTTGACTACTACCTAACATCATGCACAAAAACCAACTCAAAATGGATTAAAGAACTAGACATAAGATCTGAAACCATAAAATACACAGAAGGAAATAAAGGCGAAACACAACTCAAAATGGATAAAAGAACTAGACATAAGACCTGAAACCATAAAATACATAGAAGGAAATAAATACAGGCGAAACACTACATGATATGCACATCAAAGACATCTTTACAGACACATCACCCAAAGCAGTGATAGTGAAGGCAAAGATAAACAGCTGGGACTACATCAAATTAAAGAGCTTCTGCACAGCAAAGGAGACAATAACCAAAACAAAGAGAAACCACACCGACTGGGGGAACATTTTTGCACACAACACTAATTAAATAGTACTGATCACAAAAATCTACAAAGAGCTGATGAGACTCAACAAAAACAAAGAAAATAATCCAGTCAAAAAATGGGCAGAAGAGCTAAAATGAAACTTCTCTGAAGAGGAAATGCAAATAGCCAACAGGCATATGAAAAAATGTTCAACATCACTTGTAATCAGGGAAATTCAAATCAAAACTACAATGAGATACCATCTCACGCCAGTGAGAATGGCACATATTAAACAAACTAGCAACAACAAATGTTGGCGAGGTTGTGGAGAAAAAGGAACACTCCTGCACTGTTGGTGGGAGTGCAAACTGGTCCAACCACTATGGAGAGCTGTGTGGAGATTTCTTGACCTACTAAACATAGAGCTTCCATATCATCCAGCAATTCCACTCCTAGCTATTTACCCAAAGGACACAGAAACATCAACTCCAAAGAGCACCTGCACCCCTATGTTTACAGCAGCACTATTTACAATAGCTAAGCTTTGAAAAGAACCCAAATGCCCAAAAGTCGATGACTGGATCAAGAAGATGTGGTACATATACACCACGAATATTACTCAGCATTCAAAAAAAATAAACACATGCAATTTGCAACAACATGGATGGAGCTGGAAGGGATCACGCTCAGCGAAATTAGCCAGAAAGAGAAAGGAAAATACCGGATGGTCTCAGTCATAGCAGGAATCTAGAAAACTTAAATAAGGGACCAGGAAAAAGAATATAAGAAAGAAAATATCAAAATCAACAAATAACTATGAACCAGACACTCAATGGGGGGTGGGGGGCAGGGAAAGGAGGGCTTGGGGTCAAAATAAGGGGGTTGTAATTGTATGGGGAATATAAAAATAAAATTTAAATTAAAAAAATTAAAAAGAAAAAATAAATAAATCTTTAAAAATTCTTTAAAAAATAAATAATAAAAAAATTTAAAAAATTGTCAGTCACAACTTCACTGAGTGTAATAGAGAACTGCTTGAATTATAAAACATTACCACTGCCTGCATTTCCTATAATTAGAGAAATAAAATATACTAGGTCAAGTATAAGGAAAATTCAACTAAAGAATTCTGCCTTTTTTTTTTTAAGATTTATTTATTTATTTATACAAGCACTGGGTACAGTCAGAAGCTCGGGAGGGAGAATTCACCAGAGCCAGAGCAGGGAACAAAACAGGCAGACTGATGAAATACACTGCTGAGGGGAGCAGTGGGCGCAGCAGGAGAGGTCTGTCGTGCCATGTGGGACCCTCGCCGGTAGCCGGGGATCGAACCGGCGCTACGGAGGCTATGGGCACCTTCGCAGCCCAGCGCTCAACCACTGCGCCACCAGGGGAGGCCCAGAATTCTGCCTCTTTTATATCAACATTATCAGAAAACAAACTTCAAAATATGTCTCACTTGCCTTAACAACATATTCTATGTCTATAACCATGAATTTATACTCTCAGATACACTGTTTCTTATTTCTGGCTAGCACTGTATCAGGTAATGTCTATAAATTACTAGAAAAACAAGTTTTAAGGTATGTTCTTCAAAATTCTAAGAGTTTTCAACCAGTTCTAATGTTTCAGGATTTACTATAAAAAATTAACTAATGAAGCAGTTAGTTACAGAGTTGCCTTCAAGAAGGAGTCATTGCTTTGGTGCTAGGAGTGTGATTAACTACGGCTCCCAAGTGACAAGTCCTATACGTCCACCTCAGTCTTTGAACCAAAGACACCCTTCTTTGTGTCACAGCCCAGCTAATGACTGAGCAAGAAGCTAAAAGGCCCAGACATTTTTACCCAATGCAGGACTCCTCTACCAAAAGTATAATCTCAGGATTTCCACATCGAGCTGGCAGAGACTTGGTCAAATCCCCATCATCATCTGATGGCTTCCTCTTACCTAATCCTCCCTTCTCCTTATTACTCTCCAATAAACCTTTTATACTCCTAATTCCAATTTAGCATCTGCTTCCTGAAACACTGAGTTGATAGTCCACATTCATCTTATTTACATACTTTTTAAACTTCTATCCTTTATCCTGTCATTGTTTTTACTTTACTTGACATCTCATGGTTATTTATAACATGTTGCTCATACCTGTTACCTCTGATAGGAAAATACAAAATGGCAAATGCATATACATGGTAAAGCATAGTTATAAGGTTTAAAAACATTTTCAGGTGTGGCTAATAGAACCAGTTTTAGTAGCCATTCTAGCCATGTTATAGAATCACAGACCTCCAGAGTATGAAGAGGTCCTGGTGGTAACCTAGTGTAATCATTGCCTGATAAACTAATTTTTTCTTTTTAAAGATTTATTTATTTATTTATACAAGCACTGGGTACAGTCAGAAGTGCAGGAGGGTGAGAGAATTCACCAGAGCCAGAGCGGGGAACAGAACAGGCAGATTGACAAAATACACTGCTGAGGGAAGCAGCGGGCGTGGCAGGAGAGGTCTGTCGAACCTTGTGGGACCCTCACCGGCGGCCGGGAATTGAACCGGCACTGTAGAGGCTGTGGGCAGCTTTGTAGCCCAGCGCTCAAGCTCTGCACCACCAGGGGAGGCCCCTGATAAATGAATTTTGAAAATACAACACCTTTTACAACCAAACTGACCACTAGTACAGCTAACTCAAATGCAGACAAAAGTTATATTCAAAGCTTAAAAACAAAATTTACTGGGCCTCCCCTGGTGGCGCAGCGGTTGAGCGCTGGGCTGTGAAGCTGCCCACAGCCTCTGCAGGACCGGTTCGATCCTCAGCCACCGGCAAGGGTACCACACTGTGCGTAGACCGCTCCTGCCGCTCCCGCTGCTCCCCTCAGCAGTGTATTTCCTCGGTCAGCCTGTTCTATTCCCCGCTCTGGCTATGGTGAATTCTCTCACCCTCCCACGCTTCTGACTGTACCCAGTGCTTGTATAAATAAATAAATAAATCTTTTTAAAAAAATTACTTTTAAATGTGCTTTTGAGATAAGTCACTTTTTTAATCTATACTATAGATATGGTTCAATTCTTATCTCAAGGTGTTTAAATTGAATTTTTTAAAGCTGTACTATGTAAGGTAACTAAATAGATTTGTAATCCCAAACATTGTAGTAAATATGCAATAGAAATCACATTGACAACAACTATAATAATAAATTGTAGAAAGTCTAAGTATCAATAAGATATGAAAATAATGTTCTCTATTAGCATTTGAAATTTGCATATCAGAGAACATTTTCAAAGGCAATAATATTAATAGCTAAATATTTAATGAATAATTTCTGTCAGGCACTGTACAGATTTTATTTATCTAATTATCATAAAAACCTTATGAAATAGGTACTGTTTTTATTGCCATTTTATAAATGAACATACTGAAGTGAAGAAAAATAATTTGGCCAAGGTTTGAGACCCAATAATTAGTTAGGATTCATGGCACACACAGCCAAGCCTAAGAATAGCTATCAAGAAGGCAATAGTTCTTGTATGACTGCCATTTTTTATAAGAAAATCCATTTAGCATATATTAAGTATATAACTAAATAAAATATTAAAAACAAATTACCTCTGAAATAAAGAATTCTTTGTGCTTTTCTTCAGCTGCCCTCTGAATCAACTTGTCAAAAGGTAAAGTTCTGAAATAAACACCCAAGAATCCTCGGAGTTAATAAAACCAATTGGTAATACTCTAAGCACTAATTTATAGATATGCTGGAATTGGATTCGATCTTATTTTACAATATCCATTTTTTTTGTATAATCCATTATGTAGAATTCTATTATTTTCAAAAGTAGTCATGTACTTATTTGGCCTAGGCTGTATGTAACTTTGATTTCAAGAATTAAGTTTTTTAAAATTTATGGTACAGATGGATCCATCTCACCTATTAATATCCTCTTTCAAGTTACTACTAGAAAAATACCCTTGAGAGGGTATTCCCTCTCAAGGTCCCATCCTATCCCATCAAAATTCTAGAATCTTGTACATTAAGATATCCTATCAGTGATATGCTACCTGGTTTTCTCTGGGAATACATAAATTTTCAGGCTCTTCTTGCAACCTGTTTTCAAGCATTGAGACAAAAAGTTTTGTGATGAATGGGACAAGCTAATTGTGCTACTTTGGAAGAGAGTAGACAAATGGTCCAATGAAAATAAAGTCTCCCCCCTCCCCACCCTGCAACCGATCTTCCTGCCTTACCACCGCAGAGCACAGAAGCCCTAACACTGTTCTCATCCTCCTGTACCACCTCTGTCATTTTGAGGTTTCTGTGGACTATCTCAAGGAGAATTCCAGTGAAGTGACCCATTTTCATTCTTCTTCATTTTTCTGTCCAATTACCTACTTCCTTTCATCTTGGCAAATAAAGCTGAACACCATGGAAAAAAGTTTGCGTCCCTTACCTCACCTTCTTGAACATAGAGGGCATTTCCTCTCGAGGTACCATCCTATCCCTCCAGCCTTCTAGAATCTTGTACTTAAAAATACCTTATCAGTAACACAAAACAATAAAGTCCTGAAAATCATCTGGGTCAAAACTCTCTTCTCCTACCCCACCACATTCCAATCTCTAAACGCTGACTGAGAGTTGTAATATTTTCCCTTTTACTACCAAGTATCATTCACTTAAAATCTATACTGAAGACATAGGGAAAAAGGTTAAACAAAACCCTTTTCTCATTCTCTAACAAAATGACTGTGAGCTTACCTTCTAGTAATGTTCTCCTGGAAACATACTGGCTTAAGATAAATGGGAAATGTCAACTATGATATCAAGTAATGCTGCTTATTGTAAAAAATGGCCCTTGACTGGTGAACCTTGTCTAACCTAGAAAGTTAGTTAAAGGACTATAAATATTTGTTTGGAAGCAGATTATCTGGCTTCCCCAAGTGCAACCAGATGGTGGAACTATGTTCCCTGAAGGAACCTAGAAGCTAAACTTAGATATAAATCTTTCTTCCATCATTTTGACCTACATGATCTGGAGTAACTTAATGTTTTTCTCATCCATATAGTTATTTTTAAAAACTCTACCTCATAAATTGTTCTGAAGTTTAAATGAGTAATAGCATCTGATAAGAGCTTATTAAAGGACAAATGGTGAAGTAAACAACAATGATAATGTATCCATTAGAAGCAAGTGGTCATTAACATTGGAAAAAAAGAAAGAAAAACAGGCAATTCTCCTCTGAATCTGCCCTCACTCACTCGAGTGTGTACTACCAATAAAGCTTCATTTCTAACTCACATTTTTAAAAAAAAGGAAAGAAAGAAAAGAAGAAGAATCTTCACTGTCCTATTTCCTATTTTGGAATGACTGCTTTGCAAGATTAAGACCAGGACTGAAGAAAATATAAGAAGCATTAAAAGCAGGATGATGACATGAATTAAATGATAGGTAGAAGTGGTAAAGCTTAAATAAGATTCAGACTTTTAAAAAATAGCTTTGACAAGATGAATCCAACACTATTCTTTTACCACAGAAGGTTCTTCTTGTGAAGACTAGCCTGACTCTGGAATAGTGAGAGTTACCAAGAAGAAGTAAAAGTTAATGTGGAAATAAATTGATCTTCAAATGTTTAATAAGCAAAAAATACAACTTTAAACTGAAGTGATAGTGATGTATGTGTGCAGAATTTCTTACTTTTAAATAGTTGGTCTAGAAGCCCCTCTTTTTTCAATGTCCCTGGCAATTGCAAAAATTGACTAAATCTTTCTTTCTTGTACTAAGAAAATAATCTTGCAACTCTTTAGTTCTAATGAAAGACTTGGAGGAAGTTGGAATAAGAAGTATTACATAATGTATGTGCTTCAAAACAAGTTTATAAGACATGACAAAACATCAAGGCAATTTAAGACGAAGTTTCAATACCCATTTGTTATGGCATTGGAATTTCTGGAAAATAAACATCATTAACTGCAGTTTGAAAAACACTCATCATTCCAGCACTTTCTTCCACTTTCTTGATTTAATAAAAAATGAAAAGTTCTTACACTTGGAAAAATTTATGGCAATTAAATTCAATTCATGTCCTATTAAAAACCAAAACTATAATGATGAATATTCAAAGGATCAAAAACTGTAAAATGCTTTGGCAAGCTCCTGTACAAGCCTGGAAAGCTCTAATGAGAAAGGAATGGCACTGGACATTAGAAGCTCTGTTTAACTCATCTCTAAACTCTGGAAGGAACAGTGAAAGCCACCTTTCTTTAAAAATCAGTCTTTTGTTTTTCAACAGATTGAATTTGCTGGGAACTACACGTGCTCAGAATTTGGAAGTCATTTGACTTTTAATTTAACATTTTAAATAAAACTCATGGGAATAAGTAACATCATAAGATTACCGCATTTAAAGTTTTCAAGTTTAGACATTCTGCACTTTTCACTCTCTTACTTACTTTTAGGAGGTCCCAAAGCATAAAATGACAAACATGAGGGGAAAAAATTTGTTAAAAGTTATTTTATCAAAAGAGGAAAGTATTTTTTTAAAGTTTTCCAAGTTGATGAAAATACCATACCACAAGAAATCTACTTGTCCTACATTCCTCTAGAAGGCAGCCAAAAAATAAAAACATAGGCTTACATTTATCTGAAAACATGGAATTAGAAAATCTTCTAAAAATAAAAGCATTAAAAATTTAAAAAATATTATGGGGGAAAACTTTAGAATTTATTACTCTAGATAAGAATTACTAATGGGATAGGTTCAATCAATTAATAAAGCACTAAATGAATAAAACACACCCAGTTCTAGATGTAATTAACTCCAGTTAAAAAAATCCTTAATTCCAGGCTTTCTCTGATGGCACAGGCAGTTGAGCACCGCGCTGTGAAGTTGTCCGCAGCCTCTGCAGCCAGGGTTCGATCCCAGCCGGGGAGGGTCCCACATGGTGCAGCAGACCTCTCCTGTCTCTCCCGTTACTCCTCTCAGCTGTGTATTTCGTCAGTCTGCCTGTTCTGTTCCCCACTCTATCTCTGGTGTATCCTCTCACCCTCCCGTGAATCTGGCCTGTACCCCAGTTCTTGTATAAATAAATAAATAAATCTTAAAAAAAAAAAAAAAAAATCCTCAATTCCTTCCATGACTCCAGAGAATATTGGGTATACACCCTTTTTTAAAACTGATCTTTATAAATGTTTTTGTATAATCTGTATAATCCTTTAAAAAAAATCTTGTCTTTTAAAAGTCATTTAAAAATTAGTAAGTGGTTCTATCATGTCAAAAGACAAGGTGCGGGGCCTCCCCAGTGGTGCAGGGGTTGAGCGCTGGGTTGCAAGGCTGCCCGAAGCCTCTGCAGCGCCGGTTCGATCCCTGTCTGCTCCCTGGCCACTACCGGAGGAGGGTCCCGCACGGCACGCAGACCTGCCGCCCGCTGCTCCCCTCAGCACTGTACTTTGGTCCTTCTGCCTGCTCTGCTCCCCGCTCTGGCTCTGGTGAATTCTCTCACCCTCCCACGCTTCTGACTGTACCCAGTGCTTGAATAAATAAATAAATAAATCTTTAAAAAAAAAAAAAAAAAAAAAAGACAAGGTGCGGGCCTCCCCTGGTGGCACAGGCAGTTGAGCACCGCACTATGAAGCTGCCTGGCACTGTCAAGCTGCCTGCAGCCTCTGCAATGCCGATTCGATCCCGGCCAGCTGGCGAGCGTCCCACATGGTGCAGCAGACCTCTCCTGTCTTGCCCTCCCGCTGCTCCCCTCAACAGTGTATTTCGTCAGCCTGCCTGTTCTGTTCCCCGCTGTCTCTGGTGAATCCTCTCGCCCTCCCGCACATCTGGCCTGTACCCCGGTTCTTGTATAAATAAATAAATAAATCTTTAAAAAAAAAAAAAAGACAAGTTTTAAAAAAGTTATTTGTATGTCCAGAGTAAACCTCAGAAGAAATACCTATATACAAAGTTCTTACTAATGAAGTCCATCTGGGCAACTGCAGCAACATGAATCTTCACTTCTCTCGCTCCTCCGACCTGGCTTAGGTAATCCACTGTCCATTTACTTGTGCATGCCCCTAGATCAATTCCTTCCAATACTAGAGGCTTTCTCTGTAAGTAGGAGAAGAAACACAATGAAATTGAGGGAAAACCAACGACATATAAGAAGGTATATTTAGCAAAGAGAACAAACAAAAAATGATTCTTGATCCCAAGAGGCTCACACCAAAACCTTTTGAAAATTCATGCAATCGTTAAAAAAGGAAAAGGACCCATTTAAAATACTTAGGACAAAATTTTAACATTAGAAAAACAAAACCAAACAAAACAGGTACACCATCAAGAGCAGAGAAAGAGAAATATCAATATTATTTAGAGCATTTTTGTAAGTATTAGGACAAAAATATAAATAATTAAAACTTGTACTTTACAGTCAAATATTGTAACTTTATTTTGATACCATTTCAAACTTACAGCAAAGTTGCAAGAATATTACAGAGATCCCATACCCTTTACTCTGATTTATCAACTGTAAATTTAATCTATTGTCCCTTGTACTTTATCATTTGCTCTTTTTTAATACGCGAGTATAAAGCATAGACTTAAGCATAATATAATTTTGTCTAAACTATTTCAGAGTTAGTTCTGACATGCTCCTTTATCTCTAAAAACCTTAGTATATTTTTCAAGAACAAAGGACATTCTCTTATATAACCATAGAACAATTGTTAAAATTATGTAGAACACTGACATGCTACTATCTGATTCACAGTCTATATCTAAATTTTGTTCAATGTCCTAGCAATACCCTTTCCTTTAGTTGTTGTCTTTGTATTCGTGGGATGCCACATTGCATTTAGTGGCCATGTCGCTTTTTATCTGGAACAGTTTTTCAGCTTTTGTCTTTCAAGACCTTGACATTTTGTAGAGTACAAGCCATATACAATCCCCTTAAATTTCGGTTTATCTGATGTTTCTTCATTATTCAAGTTGCAATGTTGTGGCCCTCTCAATTGAACACATCAAGTGGCAAAGATATTTTTGCCCTATTATTTGTGGTATTAATTTTGATCAACTGGTAATTCCTGCTTGAATCAAGTATTGATATGCTAAGTAAAAATTTTGATTTTAAAATTCCATCTTCTTCTACATTTATTAGTTGACATTCTAATGTCAAAATGAGCTCTATCTTCTCCATTTATTTTATTCACTGGGTTATTAATCTATTGACATAATTTCATGTGCAGATTATCCCCAGATTTGGCCAGTAGGAGCTTCTTCAACCTGGCTCTTTTGACTCTTCACCTGAACAGTTCCTTACTTTAATAGCAAAATAAGACAATCCAGTAATTTTCTCTGCCTCAGAGACACATCATGTCTTCATGCAGCTCTGATTTCTTTTAGTGGGGAATGCTATCTACTGATAGAAACCTCTGGGAGCTGCATATATTCATTGCTCTTGGAGTATAACTATTTCTACACTCTCTCAATGGAGAGAGCTAGGAAATATGTACAGTTAAGTGCATACTGACTCCCATCTCCACCATTACATATACATACATACCACATATGTATATAACTACATATATATACATATATAAACATATACACATAAACACTTAATGGACTAAGCACCATGATGCTTCCAACACTGATACCTCCAACTTGGAACTTATACCACAAGATTCATTCTAATCTTCATTGTTTATGTAACTCCCTTCCCCAAAAAGAGAACCAGGTTCCTAACATCCTCAATATTTAATCATTTGCAAATCTCAGAATTCATAATTCACTGATGTTAAGTCATGTCATCATAAAAAGCAAGATTACTAACTAGAATTCAGTATTTCTTTCTTTTTGTCTTTAGACTGAAAACATTAAGTATTGTGCTCAAAAGTGACTTGAGTTACTTCTTCCTCTTATTTTCATTCATTATTTTTTATATAGTCTCTATTAGAGTTTTGACTTTCCTAATCATTCCTTATCCTTCTTATTTTTACAATAACTTTTAGAATGTAAAACATGAATGCAGTCTCCAAAATTATACAAAAAGGTCATCTCATCCACATTTTCCACTTAGTACTTACTCGTTACCTATAAATACCAGTCTTATTAATTTCTGGTTTATCACGCCTGTATTTCTTTTTTTTTGCAAATTGATTAAAACATGTATGCTTCCTTATATGCCCTTCTTTTTTATACTACACTTTTTTTTTTTTGCAATTTGCTTGTTAAAATTTAAATATATATCCCGACAATCACTATCAGCTCAGATTATCTCCCTCATTCTTTTTTACAGTTTCGTTAACCATAGTGCAAATGAACAATTTATTCAGTCAGTTTCTTATGGAGAAGTTTGCAAGTACAATAAACATTATGTAGATATCTTTATATTTCTGGCAGTGTATCCCCAGAGTAAATTCCTAAGAGAAGGATTGCGAGATCATAACAACATATACATGGTTGTGCAATGTGTCGAATTCTTCTCCCAAGGGGTTGTACCACTTGGCATAAGATTCAGAGTACTAGCTTCTTCACAGACTCATGAACAGTACTATTAAAATCCCTTGATTTTTGCCAATACAACGGATAACGGTATATATTGGCTTCAATATCTTTTTCTTTTAACTGCGATAACATTGGTTTGCAACACTGTTTTAAGAGTTTACACTTGTTACCACATCATGCCCATCACCAAAGTACTAACTTTCCAATGGCCCCCTCTACTCTGTGCTTCCACCCCACCCCACTCCTTTCCCATCTGTTAATCTCAGTTCTGTTGTCAGAACCCAAGGGTTTGTATTGTTTTGTCTCATTGCTGGCTTTGTTTCTTTATTTTTCACATGAGTAAAATTATCCAGCATTTTATCTCCTTCTTAACATTTCATTTAGCATAAGGCCTTCACGTTCCATCCATGTTGTGGTAAATGGCCACATTTCATCTGTTTTTAGGCTGAGTAGTATTCCATTGTGTGTATATAACACATCTTTATCCCATCATCTGTCAATGGACACATATATGGACAGTTAATGTACAACAAAGGAGCAAAGAGCATACAATGAAGAAAGTCTCGTCAACAGTGATAGGGGTCTCCCCGGTGACGCAGGGGTTGAGCGCTGGGTTGCGAAGCTGCCCGCAGCCTCTGCAGCGCTGTTTCCATCCCCTGCTGCTCCCTGGGCACCAGAGGAGGGTCCCGCACAGCGCACAGACCTCTCCTGCTGCCCACCCGCTGCTCCCCTCAGCAGTGTACTTCGGTCCTTCTGCCTGCTCTGCTCCCCGCTCTGGCTCTGGTGAATTCTCTCACCCTCCCCTGCTTCTGACTGCACCCAGTGCTTGGATAAATAAATAAATAAATCTTTAAAAAAAAAAAAAAGTTAAAAAAAAAAAAACAGTGATAGGAAAACTGATCAGCCACACGCAAAGAATGAAACTAGATTACTGTAACACTACATACAAAAATTATTTCAAAATGGACTAAAGACTTGGATACCAGTCCTGAAACCAAAAAAAAAAAAAAAAAAAAAAAAGAAAACATACATTCCATAACATGGGACTTAGGGATATCTTTGTAAACTCAACTGACAGCAAGGGAAATAAAAGCAAAGCAAAAATTAACAGATGGGACTACAGCAAACTATATATAATATATAGATGTAAAATAATATTATATATATTAAATAAACTATCAGACTATCTTCTAGTCCTCTGGTCTACCTGTTCATGCATTTGTACCACACTATCAAGTATGGCATTATTAAAATGTTAATTTGATAGAACTATGCCCCCTTATAGTTCTTATTTCAGTGTCTCCATGCAGAAAGAATTTGTTTTCCAACTTTGCTATTAATTTCCAGCTTTATTTCATTGTGACCAGTATTTCTAAATGTTCATTTTAAGAAACTTAGTGTTACTTTCTTTGTGGCATATTATTCATTCTGTTTGGGGAGATTAAACTACAAACACCTATTCCATCTTACAAAACACTTCATATGTAACATTCAGATCTTCACAATAAGGCCCTGCAGGTAGTTTATACTAACACATCTTGAGGTGGAGATAGGAAAAATAACATTCCCGGCTAGTGATCCAAATAAATGAAGACTTGAATTCTCCCTGTAGGTTGCTAACTATTGAAAAACATCATCATTCCCGATTCTTTTAATACTCAGAACTGTAGTTCTCTATGACAATCCTTACAGATGGAAACATCAAGTAAAACTGTTGGGGGTCTGGGGCTGTCCAGTAGGCAAGTAGGAGGAATTCTCCCACGAATAGACTAAATGTAACCCTGAGAACTTTTTTTTTTAAATATCTGTTGGATTGTATTCTCATTGGTTCTGAAGCCTGGAGTCCCTTGCAAAGCGGTGTTAAATAAAAGTACTTTCTCCTCACTTAATATTTTTCTTAGTTTTCTTTTAAAGAACTAAAATTGAATTACACATATACATCATTCCAACGTCTGAACTAGAACTCAGGTTAGTGAAAATACAAGACCAGTGAGACTTTCCTGGGGTATTCGCACTGACTCCAGAGTAATGAAAAACTGCTCCTCCAAATTCAGTAACTCAGCAGACTGCTGGGGTGCCTTTAGCGCCCCCAGAGTTGGGGTAGCGAAACCTCACAGCTAGGGAGGCGGGGGTGTACAGGGTACAGAAGCTGGGGGAAAGGGGAAGGCGGAGGGGCCATGGGGACTGTGAGGCCCAGCGGAATAGGGGGGCAGTGGGGCAGCGAGAGCCGGAAGAACGCTCCCTTCGTTGCCATGGCTGTGGCAAAAGACCTAAAGGGGTTCTAGCAAGGCCTCTTCTTGCAGCTAGAAGTTCTTATTAAGCAAAATGTTTCTTGTGCTCAGCTTTCCGCGTTTATACTGCTTTCCAGAAACGTGGGGCTGTTCTCTCCAGGAAATTTAATAGATGAGCCAAGCGTCCACTCCCTTGGCTGCAGTCAAGCGGACACCTTCACTCGCCGCAGCTCCTCCCTACACCCTGGGTCACAAGAAACCAGCACCGAGCAGCCTGAGTGCTCGGGATGTGTGTCCCCTGCTTTCTAGGTTTGACCCCGCATTAGGCTCTCACCTGCGGATAGAGGTGCTGCATGAACTGCTCCTGCGAAATACCCTCGAGCCGAGGTACCGGGATGCGCTGCCCCGCCATTGTTGCTCAAGCGGGTTCTCTTCCAAGTCCTCGGAACCGAGGCCCCAACACGTTCCTCAGCGCACGCTCCGCCCGGAAACACGAGCCAGAGAGAAAAGGCCCGCGAGGCTGGCGGCCTGGCTAGAGCGACCCGGTCCCAGCGTGCGACGTTGGCCGAAGGTTCTCTGTGTGGTCTGTGTGCTGGGGAGCCGGGATAGGGCTGGATTTACCAGCGGTGGCAACCGGCCAACTTTAACCTCCAGCGTCTTTCTCTGAGCCCGACTGGGGTGGTTTCCCACCGACCTAGTTTCGTTGAAGCACAGGCAAGGGAAGGGGTGAAAGGTAAAAAAAAAATGGCGCTGACCGCTCGTCTGCTGCCCAACTTGCTGCTTTATAGGCCGCTGCCCGGCGGAGTCGTCCGACCCTGGACTCCCAATACAGCCGAGGTGAGGCCACCGTTGGCTGGATTGTGCTGCTTCTGCCGCCGCCGCTTCGGCTCGGGAACAACCCCATTTTCTCGTAGCACTTGTGCGGAGGCGGCCTTGGTGCCGCCTGCTTGGAGCCCTTGGCGTCCCTTGCTCTTCCATGCGAGACTCCCCGCAGCCCTCCAGGCGTTCCCTGCCTGTTCTCGTCGCTGCTACAGCACAGAGGAGCAGCCCCAGCCGCGACAGAAAACCAAGATGATCATTTTGGGGTTCTCCAACCCTATCAACTGGGTTCGGACTCGTATCTACGCGTTCTTAATCTGGGCCTATTTCGACCAAGACTTCAGCATCGCAGAATTCTCTGAAGGAGCCAAGCAGGTTTGTTTCCGTCGCTAACCCCCTCTCATGTGTTCAACTGTTATACGCATCATTGTTTACCAGTGAGGTTTACACACACCGGACCTTAAGTTAGCAAGCATGGATAGTTACCCAGACACAGCCTTGCCTTATGTTTGCATTGTCACCGAGGAGAGCCTCGTTTGAAACACCAGGGTGAAGATCCCCTATTACCTTTTCTACCCGCTACAGCTTTTTCAGTAAGATAGAAATGGATTCAAAGCCCATCTCTGCCTCTTAAGTGTATTACCTTATAGTTTCTGAATGTGATTTTCTGCAAAAGGAAGAGGACGCTGCCTGTGTTAACCTTGAGTAAGGGAGCATCAAGGTTAATATGCAAGCTCAAAATGCATTTATTTGGGAATAGCAGACCATTATAATTCTGGGTATACAGATGAGGGACTCAGGGGTGGGAGTTAGGGAGTAGGGTGGAAAGAATGATGAGGTGATGGGGGAAGAGGTAATACTCAGATGCAGGAGTGGAAAGATAAATATGATCAGGTGGAGTGATCACAAGGTAAAATGGTTAGTGGAGAGGCTCACACAAGTAAGTAAAAGTTCTCTTTATCGGCCCTTTCACACTAGATAATCTTGTTCTTTTTGGCTTCTTGGAATGGTGGTGATTTAGCACATTCTAAGGATCAGATCCAGTTTTAAAAGTAGCTTTTCTTGTGGTGACATTCTCCAAACCTATTTTAATGTGACTACAGTGATACCACTTTTCACACTTGTCGCTTAGTAGTCACTCCATGTCTGAATAAATGAGTGGTTACAATAGTTTTGAAGAATTAATGAGGTAACATTTCCAGAGTACTATGCTACATTTTGGGTAGAAAGACAAAATTTTCTACCAGTTGGTTTGACAGAGCTGCTTTATTCCTTCTCTCACCACCTCATCATATTCCTTAAAGAATTGCCTAGAGATGAACAATTTCCCTCTTTGAAAGAATTTGGTGAGGGGCCTCCCAGGTGGTCTAGGGTTTAAGTCTCAGGACCCTCACCTCTATGGCCTGAGTCTGATCCCCAGCCAGGGAGCTAACACACATGGCTCAGCAGACCTCTTCTGTCTCACCCGCTGTTCCCCTCAGCAGTGTATTTCAGTATATCTTCCTGTCCTGCTCCCCAGGACAGGTGAATCTCTGGTGAGTCCTCTCATCAACACCCCAACTCCCCACCCCCGCACTGCTGGTCTACATCCCAGTTCTTCTATGCCAAAAAAAAAAAAAAACCAACAAAAAACTGGTTGAGACTATCTGTTGATAACTACAGGTTAGTGTGTATGCTGAAAATCACTTATCCTTTGATGACTCATAGCTCTGACGCTGACAGTTAATGTTCCTCATTCTGAGTGGTTGGTAATATCCTGCCTTGCCACAGAATAGACAGTTTGGGCCCTGAGATTACTTGCAGACTTTGTGTGTACATACAATTTTTCTTAGCATGAAAATCCATCCCTAACTTCTTTTTCTTACCTTTTACCTTACAATCTTCTTGAGAGCTTACCATTTCCAAACATCTCAGAACCTTTGGTAAATAATACAAGTCATCATTTATTTCCCAGTTCATGTCTGCATACACCTTAAAATTATGCCATCATTGTAATCATTTTATAATATTGACTGTATATGGTTTGATAGTTTTACCCATTTGTCAAGCTGAAAAATATGCCCCCAGATGGGACAAAGTCAGGGGGTTTTATAAGAGGAAAATGAGATAAAAAGTTCAAAAATTGATTAGGGTTATAAGAGTTTTACACTATTCTTGGCTATACATAATTGGTGACTGAGTCTCTAGAAAGGATGGAAAAGTAATAACTTGCTTACTTGGTTTCTTTTTTTTTTTTTTTAAAGATGTATTTATTTATTTATACAAGCACTGGGCACAGTCAGCAGCGCAGGAGGGTGAGAGAATTTACCAGAGCCAGAGCAGGGAGCAGAGCAGGCAGAGGGACCAAAGTACACTGCTGAGGGGAGCAGCGGGCGGCAGGAGAGGTCTGCGGGCCATGTGGGCCCCTCCTCCGGTGGCAGGGAGCAGCCAGGGATGGAACCGGCACTTCAGAGGCTGCGGGCAGCTTCGCAACCCAGCGCTCAACCGCTGCGCCACCGGGGAGGCCCGCTTACTTGGTTTCTTAAAACAATTGCTTTTGGCCCTGACCAAAGGTCTTTGGCATAATTCAAAGGAGATAGATGATACAATTTACGTAATGGCTCCCAGCTCCATTTTATAATAGCTAAACAGATGCCAACCTCTTGAAATTTCATATTCTTTCTGTAAACACTCATATGTATTTATTTATGTGACCTGCCAGGTATAAATTAAATGTTTTCAACTCCCTGTAATCAGTGTCAGTATTAACTCCTGCTTCCCTGAGTCCATTCTTTACTTCTTTGTTTATAGAAATTAACAAAGCAAATTAATATGCCTAGCTCAGCATCATAATTAAGTCATAAAACTCTGCTCATGTCAGTTCTCAAAACCTTTTGTACATGCAGAGGTAAATTAGCATGATTCTACTATTCTCCACAACCTGTAAGCTTGCCCACTTCCTAACCCACGTATGACTCTTCAGCTCTCTTATGTGTCAATAAGAAATGGAAATCATCTTCGCAATCTTTAGGAGTCAGACCTTGGTTCCTACTTCCTCTGAACACACAGTACAGAGGAGCTTTAGGCATATTTTAGTCACTCTGATGCAAGAGGTCCTCCAGCTGTTAGCTATTTTAGCCTCTCTGCTTGCTATCAGCTAGTCTCTCCACCCCTCAGCAGTTCCTGAATCATCCTGTTCTTACCCCTGTTATAGTTCTTTTTTTTTTTTTAATATTTATTTATTTATTTACACAAGCACTGGGTACAGTCACAAATGCGGGAGGGTGAGAGAATTCACCAGAGCCAGGGTGGGGACCCTCCTCCGGTGGCCAGGGAGCAGCCGGGGATCAAACTGGCTCTGCAGAGGCTGCAGACAGCTTCACAACCCAGTGCTCAACCGCTGCGCCACCGGGGAGACCCCTTGTTATAGTTCTTAAACTACTAGTCAGTTTACTTGCCTCCCTTCTCAAGTAGACTGAAAGCTCCTTGAAGACATGCAGAGTCTTATGTAGTGTCATTCCTCACTGCTGAAATGTGGAGGATTGCAGTTGGTTGTCCCTCACTTTAAAATGGCATGCCTACTTCAAGGTTGGGATCCACTCAAATATAAACTCATTTTCTTTTCTTCCCCCTTTCCCAAATTTGCCTTCTCTGTCTTAATGAAATTCAGCTCTCCATGCTCCCAGTACAATCTAGATGGTTCTGCTCCTCAACTGCCATTTTTGCATTATAAGAGGGCTCATATAATAGTCAGAATGGTTAATTACATCATCATTATTTTAAGAGAAAATATATAGGAGAATTTCAATTGAAGACCTAGTGTGCACACCACATACTATCTTTTCCCAGGTCCTGAGATTGGATACATAATTAGCAAATATGTGAACTATGACTGCATATTTGGAAAGGCAATGAAAAAACAAGCCAGCCAGCTTCAAGGGTGTCACATTTAACATTGATATATTAGTGTTTGACATTGCTTATCACCTTTATCATAAAATAGTCTTTGTTACACTTACCCGTTTTAGAATGAACATTGTATACTGTATGGCATTTTGCAAAATAATCAACGTCCTTCCTTCACTATTTTTTTAAGGCTTTTGCTCATGTGTCCAAGTTACTGTCAGAGTGTAAATTTGATCTATTAGAAGAACTCGTAACCAAAGAGGTAAAGTATGTTCTTAATTACCTTCAAAAATAATGTATAATTCTCTTGTCATAAATGATATATGGTCCCTTTATTTATATTTAAAAATGGTTTGTGTGCCATAAGCTAAAGCAGAGCCCTCAGATCTTTCCTTTTGGGTACTTTGGGTCATATAAAAATGACTTGCCTCTTAGGCATAAGTAAATGTGTCTTTGAGTTGTTCTTACAGAGACTTCTCTATTAGGAATTACCTAGTTGAATAACTAGAAACTTTTAAGCCTTGTTTTTGAACATGAGTAAATTTTAAAATAAATTTAGAAAATATTTTTCCATGTTTTTGAAAAGCTTTCAGAAACTCAGTAGGTGAACTATGGTTTGCTTTTTCCAAACTTAGGTACTACCTGTATTGAAAGAAAAAGTTACTTCACTATCTGACAACCATAAAAATGCCCTTGCTGCTGACATAGATGATATAGTATACACATCAACAGGAGACATCTCCATATACTATGATGAGAAAGGTAATACTGGAGCATAGTCTACTTTTTTTTTTTTTTTAAAGACTTATTTATTTATACAAGCACTGGGTACAGTCAGAAGTGCCGGAAGGTAAGAGAATTCACCAGAGCCAGAGCTGGGAGCAGAACAGGCAGAAGGACCGAAGTACACTGCTGAGGGGAGCAGTGGGTGTGGCAGGAGAGGTCTGCAGGCCATGTAGGACCCTTGCCGGTGGTCGGGGATCAAACCGACGCTGCAGAGGCTGCAGGCAGCTTCTCAGCCCAGCGCTCAACAGCTGCACCACTGGGGAAGCCCACATATCTATTTTAAATGATCCGTAGTTGTCCACATAAGCTTTCCTAGTGGGCAATCACTTAAAGACCTAGCTCTGAAAGAGTTAAAATAGGGTAGTAGTTTTTTATGCCCTTCTATCTAGAAGTTTCCCCTGCTACTGTCTGATTTACATGGGAGAACATAATCTCTTAAGTTGAAGAAAATTGTCTAGGATAAGCTGCTTCCTTGTCTCAAATTAAAAATATTTGTGTTTCAGTTTTCCTACCTTGAAGGAAAAAAATTGAGCATTTTAAATGTCCAGCTGTATGTAAATAGGAGTAAGGAGTAAAAGAAAAGTTCATATTATCAGCTAAAGTCTATTGAAAGTAAGATAAGCTACACATCTCCAAATTGGATTTATTTGGAGATACTTTAAAAAGTTGAAGGAATTTTAGTGATAGTTATCTGGTTCTTCTTGTCCACTGCATACAGTTTGCCCTATACTATTTTTTTTTTTTTAAACTTTATTTTTGACAGTTGTGGTTTGTTGTTTTTTTTTTTAAAGATTTATTTATTTATACAAGCACTGGGTACAGTCAGAAGCATGGGAGGGTGAGAGAATTCACCAGAGCCAGAGCGGGGATAAGCAGCAGGCACGGCAGGAGAGGTCTGCGCCCCATGTGGGACCCTCGCCAGCTGCCGGGGATGGAACCGGCACTGCAGAGGCTGCGGGCATCTTTGCAGCCCAGCGCTCAACCGCTGCGCCACCGGGAGGCCCTGCCCTATACTATTCTTGAAAATGTGTTAACTTAATTATTCCTTCTACAAATATCTGCATATGTACCATGTACAAGGCACACTAGGAATCTAGCCTTTACTTACATACTTTCTTAAGCAGTTTTTATACAGGACTCCTACTAGTTACAAAGTTTTCATGCACATGTTACATTGAAACATTGTAAAGATACTTTTAGTGATGAATATTTTGTTCTCCCCATAATTACTCAAACTGCATGTCAGCAACTTGGTCACTATCTGGTTTTTACAGGCATAGCAAATTGAATGAAGATAAAATAGAAGTCTGTCCTCTTTCTGGTAGTTAAGGTTAAGTTAATCACTTAGTGGCAAGAAATGAGTTTTCCCTCTTCATTTTTGGTTTGACAGTCTATGCCTATTATAATTTTAGGAAATACCACAAATTAAAAACAATCCATGTAGTGGATCAATGTACACTTAGTAAATAGTACAGCTCAGTAAATAGTAGCTATTACTACTACAATGCAGAGAAGAGGGCAAAATGTGTCATAAATCTTGAGAGAATTTTCTGAAAACTAAGTATAAATACAGATCTTGACTAAAATAAGCCCCAAATTTGATCTATAGTAACTGCATAAATATTGCAAATTTCTGATTTCATTTTGGATATATGGATGATAGATTATAGCAATTTGTATTTGTGTGTGTGTTTTTTCTCTAAGGAAGGAAGTTTGTTAACATCCTGATGTGCTTTTGGTATCTAACCAGTGCCAAGATCCCCAGTGAAACTATAAGTGGAGCCAGTGTGTTCCAGGTTAAGTTGGGGGATCAGAATGTGGAAACTAAACAACTTCTTAATGCAAGCTATGAGTAAGTCTAATTACATTTCATTGTTTCCTTTCTCTAGAAAATGGAAGGTAGTATGAAGGTTTGAAAACTAAAGGGAGCTTTAGGAAGAAAAGGATTGAAATTTGACAAGTTATTTATGAAGAAAAAAAAGTCATAAAGACATACTGGCCATGAAACAGGAGTGTTCAGAAATTAGAACGAGGTAATTCTGTTGAATTTAATTAAATGGTGTTTCAGCTGTCTGTTGCTGCATTACAAACAACTCCAAAACCCAGTAGTTTCAAGCAGCCTTTTTTTCCCCCCTGCTCAGGAATTTTGGAAAGGCTCAGCTGTGGGATTTTCTCTTCTTCATCTGACATCAGCTGGGGCTTCAGGAGGCAATGGGTTTATTTTCACAATGGCCTCTTCACTCACATGTGCGGCACCTTGGTGCCACGGGCTTATCCATGTCATGTGGTATTGGAATTGTGGTAGTCTCAGACTGGTCACATATTTTATATGGGGTTTGCCTTCCAAGAAGCAGAAAGCAGAAGATGCTAGACAGTAGCGGGCTGTGCCCAGGATTGGCGCATCATTTCTACCATGCTTTACTGGTCAAAGTAGTCATAGGACCTGCTCTATTGAAAGGGCATGGAGACACTCCACCTCTTGATGGCAGCAGCAAAGTCACATTGCAGAAGGGCCCCTGTGTTGGGAGATATGGTTATTGCCAGCCTTGAAAAATAAAATCTGCCTTAAGTATTGACTGTCTCCTATTTACCCAGTACTCCAGATTGGTTCAGATATAGAATTGAAGGGTTAGTTATGAGATTATTAAAGGACACTGTAGTATATTTTTGTGCTAATAAAATTTAAACAGTGAACAAGTCGTCAATAGACAATTTAGTATTTATTTAAAAGAGAATACTGTTATGTTGCCAAAGTTATACACATTTGCTTTAAAATAACAAACATCCCAAAATGAAAATGTATTTTGTTTCATTAAGGTAAAAAAGAAATTGTAACCTCACTAGTTTCCCTTTTCTTGAAAAAAATGTTTATCTTCTTCTGTTTTAAATTTTGCTTTATTTGTAATTGTCAAAAATCTGTATACTTAAAATTTATTTTAAACCTACTGAATTATCTTTTTTGATATTTATAACTAAAGAACATGGTAATCATTACTAACTTTTGGTTCTTCTGATAATCCCTACTAAGATTATGGATAGCTCATAAACACTGTTATTTTCAAGATTTATCTAATGTATATAACCCAAATTTGACTACAGTGCTATTTATATCACCATAGTCCAATTTATTTCTTATGTTAGGCATATGTTAAAGCTCATATTTAACATTAGAATAACAAGTTTCTGTCAAGAACAGGCAGGTTTTGGAAGCTAGATCAATCCATTAAAAATAGTTGGGAAAAAATTAGTTGAGAATATACTTAATATTATGGGGATATTTTTATTATTGAATTAGTAGGTTAAATTTCTTTGATTTGACTTTTATTTATCTTTAACCATTCACTTGCTGCTAAAATCTGCCTCTGAAATACTCTTGGAAATTAGATAGCTATCCAAGAAATATTTAGACTGATGTAAGATTTACATTATTTGTAATTTTTCCCCCTAGATTTCAGAGGGAGTTTACGAAAGGAGTAAAGCCTGACTGGATCATTGCTCGGATCGAACACTCAAAGTTATTAGAATAATCCTTCTTGGAAAAAACAGCTTCGTGGACTGTTAGCACTACTCTGGCTGTTGGTGTTCTCTTGCAATGAGAAACTAAGGAAGAACATTTTTTGGATCACTTGATCTTCACTTAGATAAGTCTGTGAATTTCTTTTCTATTTTGAAATACTCCTTGTAGTATATTGGCAATGATCTAATAAAGTGTTTTCCACAGATTGTTAATCACCTTCTATAAAATGTCAGTAAAAAAAAACTACAACAGCACATTGTTGGTGTCATATTCGGTGTCATTTCTAATGTTGCATATGTGTACATATACCCAAGCTATAATTTTATAGACATGAAGGTATTGCAAGAAATACACATTTTTAAATTATTCTTAAATATTTAATTGTGATTAATACAGTTATGACAGTAATTCAAGTATATGTAAGATTTATTTTTAAGAATCACTGCTGCTTTTTGATTACTGTCTTGGACTCTAGCTAGAGGAGAAGGAATGGATGGAATTAAAGCAGTTTGGTCAATGCAGAGCTAAATATCAGTGGACTTAAAGCTTACTAAAGGTCAAAAAGGGGGTGAAAAGCCTCAAATAGTGCCTTAGATACCTAACAGATATTCTGACATCTGTGTACTTGGAGTCCTAGAAGTTGTGGTTAGGGAAACAAAAACAATAGAAGAAACAGGGTCTGAAAATGTTTATACTTGATGAAAATGGTAAACCTACATATCAAAAAAATTCAACAAGCATAAAAATTCAACAAAAATTAACACATAAAAAAAAACCTCACTAAGGTGTATCATAATCAAATTGTTGAAAACCAGAGAACATTGTAAAGCAGCTGGAGAAAAGACTCAACCCATATAGAGAATGGCTGCGCGTTTCTTAAACTGCAAGTTAGAGACCTTGCTACACATTTTTAAAGTGTTGATAGATAAAACATGTTGACTTAGAATTCTATATTCAGCAAAAATGTCCTTCAGTAAATGTGAGAAAATAATTCTTAAACAGAGGAAATGAGATAATTTGGTCCCAGTGTACCTATTTTATAAGACCTGTTAAGGAATAAATTCAGAAATGGACTCATGCATGTTGGATAGTTGATTAATATGGAGCAGCTGGCATATTGCTAGTAATAATACAAAATGGTTCAGCCATTTGGAAGAATTTTTGGCATTTTCTTAATACAGTTAAATATATGCTTACCATAGGACCCAGCAATTCTATTCCTAGGTATTATATCCATGAGAACTAAAAACATGTATCCACACAGAGAATTGTACATGAATGTTAGCAGCTTTTCTTTCTTGACTCCAAACATCAAAGACCCCACATGTTCATCAGTAGAAAAATGGATAGACAAGCAAGTGAAAGAAGCCAGACGCAAAAGAATTACTGTATAATTCTATTTCCATGAAATTCTAGAAAAGTCAAAACTACAGTGACTAAATCAGTGGTTTCACCCTGAAGCAAAAGTGGGATAATGGTGGAGGAAGAGGGGTTGACAGCAATATTGTACAAAGGGGTGGAGTGATGAAAACTATACATCCTGATTGAGGCAGTGGTTATAGGACTTTGAGTCCTCAAACTGTGGACTTAAAATGGGTGCATTTTATTATGTCTAAATTAATGTTACATGAAAATTAAACCTGAATAGGTTGACCTCACTAGCTCTTACCCTAGGATCCACTAGATCTTAGAACTTGATTGCTCCAAATGGTTACTTTTAGCTTTATTGAGATATAACTGGCAAGTGAAACTAATATTTAAAGTATACAACATAATATACATATGTGAAAGGATTCAAGTTAGCTAAAAGATCCGTGTTCTCACTATTTACCCTTTTTACAGGGGCTGAGAATGCCTAAGATCTACTGTCAATAAATTTCAGCTGTACAATAATGATTAGCAACTACAGTCCCCATACCATATATTAGATTCCCAGACTTCATTCATCTTCTAACTCAAAGTTGTACCTTTTACCATCATTTAAATCTTTATGAGTTTGATTCATTTTCCTTATAAGCTTCAATATATCAGTGACACTGCAGTGTTTGTTTCTTATCTGACTTACTTCACTTAGCATCTTGTCAAGACTAAATAATTTTTCATTATGTAAAAATAGAGAATATATCCTATATGTTCTCTATTTTATAATCTATACATATGTTCTGATATATAACTCTCTGTTACATACACTCTATACTATATAATATACAAATTCTATATTATGTATGTTTTGTATGTTCCACATTCTATAATGTCTATTCTATAATGTCTATTCTATTGGCTTGTCATAAAAGTCATGACATTTTTCTGTTTTCTATGCAAAAATGCATCCTGCCTTTTCTGACAATCCAATATATGCAACATGTTCTATGTTATATGTAGTAAAATTCCATTATATAATAATTACATAATAGAAAATTATTCAGCCTTAAAAAGGAAGGAAATCCTGTTTATCCACATTTTGTTGATCCATCTGTCAGTGGAGTTTGTTTTCATACCTTGGCTATTGTAATAATGCTTCAGTGAACATGGGAGTGCAGATACTGGAGATGATGGGTTTGTTTCCTTTGGATTAGTACCCAGACATGTAATTGCTGGATCATATGGTAGTTCTATGTTTAATTTCTTGAAGACCTTCTATACTGTTTTCCATACCAATTCATAAACCCTCTAGCAGTGCACAAGGGTTCCCTTTTTTTCCAGCATTTGTTACCTCTTTTTTGGTAATAGACATCCTAACAGGTATGAGATTTTGATTTGCATTTCTCTGGTGATTAGTTGTGTTAAATACCTTTTCACGTCTCTTGATGACCATTTGTATGTCTGAAAAACTGTATTCAGGCCCTTTGCCCGTTTTTAAATTGTATTATCTGATTTTATTCTGGTTTGTTTTGTTTTGTTTTTTGTCTTCTGTAGTTGTATGATTTCCTGGTGTATTTTGAATATTAACTCATTACCAGATGTGGTTTACAAGTATTTTCTCTTATTTCATAGGTTGCCTTTTCTTTTTTTGGATGATTTCCTTTACTGTGCAGAAAACCACTTAATTTGCTGTATTTCCACTTATTTTTGCTTTTGTAGCTCTTTGCTTTAGTGTCAAATCCAAAAAGTCCATTGCCAAGGATAACAACAGTGAGTTTACCTCCTATACTTTTTCTAGAAGTTTTATGTTTTCAGATCCATTTCAGATCAGAGCTTTAATCCATTTTGAATTGATGTTTGTACATGGTATAAGGTAGGTAGGAGTCCAATTTCGTTGTTTTACATGTGATTTTCCAGTTTTCCCAACACCACTGTGCAGTATTATAAAAATTAATTGACCATGCATACATGGGTTCATTTCTGGGCTCTGAAAAATGTTAATATTTAATAGAGTGCATTGAATCTGTAAATTGCGTTGGGTGGTATAGACATGTAAGCAACATTAATTCTTACCACTCTATAAAGAATATATTTCCATGTGTCTTCAGTTTCTTTCATCGATGTTTCATAGTTTTCAGTGTATACATCTCTCACTTCCTTGTTTAAATTTATTCCCAAGTCTTATATTCTTTTTGATAGTATTGTAAATGGAACTATTTTCTTAATTTTAGAATAGTTTGTTGTTATTGTATAAAAACACAACTGATTCTTTTGTTGCTTTCACTGGGTTCTCTGCTTGCAGCATCTGCCTGTCCCTAGTCATAGGCTCTATTTGTGAAGAACAGAGGATCTTTGGTCTTATTTTAAATTTGGGGCAAATTATTTTATCTGAAGTGTAAGTTTGGTTTGATTTCTATCTAGTTTACCTTTGAAGATCTTTGAAACTATGCAGCTACTTGTGGGAACTCTCCAAATTTTCCATTCCATGTACTTTTCTGACCATGTCCCCTATTTCAGGTCTGTGCCCATTTATAAAACGAGAGAACAAAACTCCCTTCATTTCAGGTTTTGATTCTACTCCAATTATCTCTTTAACTTTTAAAAGTTTCCTGGAGTCTTTTTTAAGTCTTTCATTAATTTGTCCTTTATAATTTTAAATCTTTGTTCAGTTATCTATAAAGGAACAGCCACATGTCCTTATGTAGTGCATTTCATATTTTTTTCCTTTCAAATCCTTTTTCTTTGCTTATGCACAACTGGGTTAAAAGTCTCCTCCTGGTCTTTCCCACCCTGCTGCTTTTAACCATTTTTTGCTTTTTGAGTAGCTAGCAATTAAGCAGGCTAACTATATAAATTAGAGAACCTGGGATAATACATACCTAACAAAATCTCAAACTCTGCAGTGAGTTTGTGTTGGTTTTATTGATTATTAAAAGAATTCTTTAGTTACAGCTCTTAGCTCTAGACTAAGGCTTAAATTCAGCCTCTTTTGATCTGCTTTCTGATCTAGCAATTTTAAGGGGATATTGTATAGTTTTCTGGGATGGGGACATGCCCTTAGGAACAAAAATTATTATATTTAGGAGGCCAGGAACAGAATGAATAGAAAAGGTTTAAGTGATTGATAAAGATAAAGGAAAGATGGATGGATGGGTACACTTACATATGCTGCTTAATGAAACAAGGAGAAACAGTCATTTCTATAACCATAATGGGAAACAAAAGTGAGTACTCTCATAAATCAATTAGTCAAAAATACATAACAGAAATACCAGGCTTTATCAACAGAATATTATTTTTAGATGCCCATACATATGTATGTCTGGAGTCTATGTATGTATGCATATATAGATCCAAAAAGAAAATTTTAATAAATTTCCCAGAGTAGAAATTATATAACCACATTGTCTAAACTAAGAAATAAAACTATAAATCCACAAAATAGCTAAAATCATAAAAAATGAGATTACATTAAAAATATAAGGCCCCCAATCTGAATTTACTGCTTAGCTCATTGGTAAGACCTGACAATTTTCTGTTTGAATAAAGCAAACTGCTGATTTTATGGATGCTTGTGGAAGAATTTGTTGTGTAGCTTTATTTCAGATGTGGTTTTACCTTTAAATGTTCCACTTGATTCTTTTTCATAGATTACATTTTGTCCTCTCTACACTTCCGTTTTCCTTTTTAGCTCCCTGAATATAAAATAGTTATTTTAATGTTTTCTTCTACTAATTCTATTTCTGTCATTCCTAAATATATATTCTTAGTAACTGCCTTTTCTTTTGGTTATTGGTCCTATCTTCCTGCTTCTTGACTGATCTTGACTGCTTCTTGATAAGATGCTAAACCTAATCAATTATAGAACCTTGAATATCTGGCATTGTCTTCCTGAAAAGAATGTCAATTTTGGACTTGACAGCCTCCCCAATCACATGAGCCAATTCCTTAAAGTATCTTTCTCTTCCCATATATATCTGTTTATAAAACATGCATTATGTATGCACATCATATGCATATATGCATACACGTGTACTGTTGCGCTCCTGCCTCCCACGAGAGGGGCATTTTCCCTGTTGCTTTTGATACGATGCCTTCACAAGCTGGATGCAACTTCTTTTACTATGTACAGTCCCCCTCTCAACAGGTATTTGTTATTATTGGATACATGACATTGCTTTTATGGTTCTATAAACTGTTATTCTAAACACCACATGGTGGAGCTAATTGTGTATAGAATTTAAATGCTGTGATCTGCAGTAAGTTTGATAGTGGATCAGGTCATTGAGCAGTGGGAAGAATGCTTTGTTTACTCACAGGGTTTTTTGGGTAGATATGTTATAAAAAACTGCTCAACAAAAAGTTTTATGAACAGAACTTGTTAATGTTGAAGGAGTAAGTGCATGAGTCAAATCATACCACCCTCCCTGGTTGCTGGGACCACCACAGATGATGCCATTCAGGTTCCCTGTGAATACTGCCCAGCTCAAGTGGTTTTTCTCTGGGTGGTATGGTGCAAAAGTAGGATAATATAGGCTATGCTGCAGTCACAAATCTCAGTGAACTGAAGGGGGGTATATTTCTTGTCCACACTACATGTCCAATTAAAGAAACTTGAGAACTCTGCTTAGTGGTGGCATCACCTGCCCTCCAGGACACAACTCATGGGCAGCCACTACCTGATACTATGACAACTGAAAAATACAGCTCCGAAGGGTCTCACGTGAGCAATTAAATGCTGAACTTGGAAGTAATACAATTTGTCAGAACATGATCTACCAGAGATCTAGGAGGTGCAGTTCTACCACATACCCAGAAAGCATTTGAGAAACATTTGGTGAATAGCAGTAATGATCAACACCTGCAACAACTATTTCTCGTTTTAACCCTACAATTGGCTACCGTGCCCAGTGAAAACATGCTATTTCACTGGAGTGATCAGGAGACTCAAGAGGAAAAAAGGACTTTCTAGATCTTTTGGTGACATTATTAGCAGAGAATTATTGACCACTCTGTTATTGGAGCAGGGAAAGGAAGATCTCTAGCTCTGTATAACAATAGTTATAGGTGTCCTAAACCAGTCTTACCTGGAAAAGGCACAGAACACCTGAATTCTATTCTCTTCATTTGATGAGCTCAAATTTGCTCAACTAAGACCCTATATAATAGCAATCATTATAAATGGTTTCAAAATGATAATTTATAGAAACTTAGAAAAACCTAGGTCTTCATGAGAGTACTTATTGTGGATCACCAAAGGTCATAATGTGAGTAGATTATGCAAATGTTGGTATCATTTAGGATTAGTTCTGATTGCATGAAAACAAACATTTTTAAAGCATGGCTTAAATAATATAAAGTTGACCTTTCTTAGACATAGAAGTCCAGAGACAGGATGCTTGGGGCTAGTATGCCAACTCAAAGTCCTTAAAGATCCAGCTTCCTTCTGGTCACCTGTGCCTTAGGTTTGCCCCTTTTCCTCCTAGTACAATGTGGCTGGTAGAGCTGCAGTGCCATAATCATTGTCCAGGTTTTGCACCATTCCAGGCCGGGTAGGTTCACTGTTGTTTCTAGCGATTTGAAGGAGAATTTTGGATCCCTTGGCGTCATTTTCACAGATCTTAATGATAAGCAAGGCAACACGTCAGCAGGGAGACAGGAACTTGAGTCCCCTTCCACAGTGTGATGCTGCCCTTTTATACCCTCCCTCCCAGGCTCCGGTGTGCACACTTGCACATGCGCA